GCGGGTGTGGCAGCAGCGATCTGAAAAATAGAAGACCACTGCCCCTCTGCTTCCAGTTTTGTCAATAGGTCGACAGCAATATCAGTAACCTGGTACAAAATCATGAATCAAGCAGCCTCTTGTAGAACAAATGAAGTTTTGTTTTTGGTTCCCTTTTAATTTGATGAATGCTAAGTTTCCCTTCTATCTAACTTGCTTTTACCCACTTAATTTTTTGGGGGGGAAATGCATTGTAGTTAAAATTGTTCAGTAGGCCATGACCACGTATTGCAAGTTTTAACGTGTTTAAAAAATTTTTTGTAAACATTTTTGTTGGGGTTTTTTTTCCCTCCCAAGCTTCTGTAAGCAAATCCATCAAACCATAAAATCCTGTTGCTACAGTTGGTGTTTGCCAACAAATGTCAGTCAGATTCCACTCTGCAGTTGCTTGGAAGAAGACATCACAGGACACATTTGTGTTTTTTAAAATTTGCGCTGCCATGACACGCGCCTGAAAAAGTTGGCATTGTTTGATTTGAAATATTCTGTCAATCCAGCCACTTACACTGTACCTGGTGATTTATCTTATCCCATTATTTTGTGCTCGTGGTCATAAAATTGTGGCTGGTTGTTGTATACTTGGCACGACATATGATTTATTTTTGGACCATTTGTGCTAATTTGGTTATCACCCCCACAATTATAAGTGACACAGACTGCTTCAGTTCTGACAAGAATGCGGTCTAATCAACTATGTTAAGAGATGGAGGTCTGATCTGCTGAGGTTGTAAGTCGAGGGGGTACTATGACTTCTTTCAACTCCCCTTTCATTCAGATGCCAGACTGTTCACAAAAACTGTGCGTGACACTGACCCACTCAGAGTACATTCTTATTCAGAAGCCAGAGCCCAAGGCCAGACAGAGACTTAATGTGTGTTCTGTGAGATTCAGTCGAGTTTGCTTTTGAGCTTGATTAAGGTATTTGTCATATGCTTGCAAGGTTAGTTTAAAAGGCCACACATTTCAGATTGCATTCTGTGGAAAGAAACAAAAAATGTATTGTTTACATTTTAATAAATGTTTTTGTTTTCATCAAGTTGGCATTTGAACATGGTTTGTGGTGCCCAACATTTTGCCCGAGTCCATGCCAAGAGATTATATTGAAATGTTCCGTCTATGTCAATGTTGTACAGGTGCTGTCGGTCTGTGTGGAGGAAGAAAACATCATTCCATATATCACCAATGTGCTGCAGAATCCAGATCTGGCTCTACGCTTGGCTGTACGCAACAACCTCGCCGGTGCTGAAGAGCTCTTTGCTCGCAAATTCAACAACCTATTTGCGGCTGGCAACTACTCAGAGGCTGCCAAGGTGGCTGCCAATGCACCAAAGGTATTCTTCCTGTCAGCCTTACACGAATATGGTGTATTATAAATAAGATTTAAATTCCCTGATCAAGTTGCTCTTCAGGTTACTTGTTTATTTTGTTTTGATGAATTCAAGCATTAATTTGCAAACCCCGTTGAAATGTATTCCAACCCAGAACCCCCTGTGGAAACTAAAAAGAAAAACACAGACTGTATGAGACACTGAGGCCAAAACCTCTTCACATTCTAGTACAGATGCCAACTAAGAAACAGTGATAGATTTTCAGCATGGGAGGTGAAAGTAGCCTAGTGCCAATTCCGAAGGTACTAAAGTTAAAGCAATGCAGATATGTCAATGTAAGCCGTTTGTCCTTTGAAATGGACTGTACAGGCTATCCATTCAGTTCTTTTTTTTTTTCTGACAATTTCCCTCTTTTCAGGGTATTTTGCGAACCCCGGACACCATTCGTCGCTTCCAGGGTGTGCCTACTCAAGCAGGGCAGACCTCCCCTCTGCTCCAGTACTTTGGGATCTTGTTGGACCAGGGCCAGCTCAACAAATTTGAATCTCTGGAGCTTTGCAGGCCTGTCCTCCAGCAGGGAAGAAAACAGCTTTTGGAGAAGTGGCTCAAGGAAGACAAGGTATTCAATGTCTGACTGAATTTATGCCCCCCGGGGGAATTCCCAAGTTAAATCAAATATTTTATTTATTATCCTGTGCTCACATTATTTCCTATTATTAGTTGGAGTGCTCAGAGGAGCTTGGAGACCTGGTGAAGGCTGTGGATCCCACCTTGGCGCTGAGTGTCTACCTTAGGGCCAATGTCCCCAACAAGGTCATTCAGTGTTTTGCAGAGACTGGCCAGTTCCCCAAGATTGTCCTTTATGCCAAAAAGGTTTGTTTGTCTGGCTCAATCCTTTTACTGTACAAATGACCTCATGGAAATGATGATCATAATACCCTGTATATTTGTATTTTTTTTTCTCCCCAGGTGGGCTACACTCCAGATTGGATCTTTCTTCTGAGGAATGTAATGCGCATCAACCCAGAACAAGGCCTACAGTTTGCCCAGATGCTGGTGCAGGATGAAGAGCCTCTGGCCGATATCACACAGGTTAGATAGGGTAGCAATCATGGCATTGATAAATTCAGTTTGGCATTCTTCCTTAATTATATTTTCTGTCCTGACTAAAAATTGTTTGTCCAAGTAGAACTCGCCAGACATGAAGTGCAGGTAATCTGTTCTTCAGTTCAAGTTCTCATTTCCATTTGTTTGTTCAGATCGTGGATGTATTCATGGAATACAATCTGATCCAGCAGTGCACCTCATTCCTGCTGGATGCACTGAAGAACAACAGGCCATCAGAAGGTCCCCTGCAGACCCGCCTGCTGGAGATGAATCTCATGCATGCCCCACAGGTGGATATGTGGTTTGCAGAAAGGACATAAATCCAAGTATTAGATAAGAATTTTTAATACTTTTTTGTCATGCTTATAGGTTGCTGATGCTATCCTGGGCAACCAAATGTTCACCAACTATGACCGAGCGCACATTGCCCAACTTTGTGAGAAGGCCGGACTGCTGCAAAGGGCTTTGGAACACTACACTGACCTGTATGACATCAAGCGTGCTGTGGTGCACACACATCTTCTCAACCCTGAGGTAGAACTTTTTTTAATCATCTAATTTTTTATTCTCCACAGTTGAATCTAATTACAGTGAAATTCCTCTACAACGAAATCATGTTTGCGGCAAGACATTTTTCACAACGGGGGCGTTTTCACTGTAGCAAATTTGATCTCAGATATAAGAAACCCACACACACACACACACACACACACACACACACACACACACACACAAACGTATGTGCACACGCACACAAAAACGTATGTGTACTCTTTATTTTTATTCCAATAGTGCATGAGTATGAGCACACACTTATTTGACACTTCATATTGTCAGTGTAGAAAGAAAAAAAAGGGAAAGAAATTGCGAAATTTACGATCAGCATTCACTTTCACTTACATCAATTTCTTGGAAAATGTATTTTATTTTGCTTGCTCCGTCTTTCATTTTGATCACTTTTACCCTCTCTTCCAGCATCAGAGCTCTTCTTGTCTTAGCTTCTTGACATCCAAAGGTCCCTTTTGTAGCCATTTTAGCAATGCAACGTCCATCCTCGTCTGAATCTAACAATAACAAATACTTCCTGGCATGCAATGAACTTTTAAGCCAGCCACGGGACGCTTCGTAGTCCTCGATGGCCTTAGTTAGCTCTCGAAGGCTAAAAACCTTACGCTAACTGGAGCGCTTTATTAGCTTTGAGCT